AAAAAAAAAAAAAAAAATTTATAATTGGTTAGAGAAATAATAAAGCTTTGTATGAAGGGTTGGATATTTCAGGGTGAGATAGGAAAGCTGCTGATCAGAGAGGAGCCACAGTATCCCAAACCATGACTCAGATGACAGGTTGAGGGAACTAATGCCTGTAGGTGATTTAACCTCTGCTCTGAATGGCTTTAAGGCCTACTAATGATTTAGTATTTTATTGTCACAAGAGATCTGTTTTGATCTCTGCTTTTACATTAATGCTGGTCAATGTTGTTTGTATAAAATGAAAGGGAGGGTGTAAGGAGATGTGTCTGACCTCCTTCCCTTCACGGCCAGGAACTCAGTTTTAAAGTTTTTCTGGGGTTGCCTTGGCCAAGAGGAAGGAATATTAAGGGGGGAAGGGCTTAGGATTTTATTTTACTTAATAGCCCTTCCAGATCAACAGGCCTTAGAAGGCACTTCCCCCATCTCCATAAAGACCAGAAAGATCCGTCAAGAACAATTTTCTTCCCTTTCCTCTCCACGATCTCATTATGTGCAGGAGAAGATTAAGAGGTAACCAGACCTTGCCCGACCCCTTACGAAACGAAGCCTGTCTCTGAGGTTCATTTAACTTCCAAAGAGAATCATTTACCATTTATTTTCCCAAGTGTCCATTGCTTCTCATTCTCAGTAGCTACCACTTACTGCCCCTGAGCAGAATCACCTGTGTTCCCAGCCCTGTTTCCTCCCTCCCCTCTGAAGTGAGGCTGTCTAAATATCTGGGTCTCATGGGTGCTGGGCAGTCGCTCTGAGATTCTCCCTGTGTGTGCAGTAACAGTACAGGTTACATGACCTTTCTCTTATGAATCTGCCTTATTGTGGGTTGAAGGCAAGAGGTCGGTTTCTCTTCACCCCACACACTTTCTAAAGAAGGGCTGTATTTAAGTCACCTGTAATCCTGCAGCCCATAGTGAACCTGTAGTGACTTCAGCCCATTGAACTGAAGTGACTTGAACTGAAATCTGAAAGCAGCTATTCCCTGAAACCACCTCCCAGAGAGGTCTAACATATGGACGTGTTTCTACTTTAAACACAGAAAGAACTTCCGGATCACTACAGGCCTTGGATGGAAATTGCCAATAAACTTCCTCACTTGATAGAGACTCACCAGCTTCGAGGTCATGTGAACAAGGTACACGTTTTCCTTCTTCTTCTCTTTGCCCCTTTCTCTCCATTGTGTTTCCATCCTCATACGACCTTTCTTTTTTCACCTTGCGGAAGTGGGACAACTTAACTGGGAAATTAATCAATGTCATTGAGTTTCTCAACAGAGCTATCTCACCCTTCCTGAACATCAGACTGACGCCTTCCTGATATGATGCACTCATGTTCCTGAGATTCCCAGAGCCAGGGCCGTACAGTTTCTGGCACATATTAACCAACCACCACATGTTTGTTTAAAGAAGAATCTGAGTGGGACTTTTAAACAAGCTCATGGGGAGGTTTTAGCTTGGGAAGGGAAGACATGGGAATTCGTGGTATCTGCATTCTGTGTCCCCTGGTCAGTCCACCTGCCTTGTTGCCTCTGAAGGGGTTTCGAAAAGAAAGAATGAAAGAAAGAAAATGCTGGGGAGAAAAGAGTTATTCGAACCACATTGTGAAACTTTTGACTTTTCCTCTTGTGTGAGAGCCAAGGTGTCCGCAGTCAAACCTCTTTATATTAGCATGAAGGGAGTAGATCACAACAAATATTAAAAAAAAAAAAATCAGGAAACAAGCCAGCTCACCAAGGTGTGTGCAGAAAGAAAAAAAAAAAATACTTCATGTTATGATGAAGTTAAACCATTTCTGGGAAGTACTTACTTTGCATTTTATATTGAAGCAAAATATGAAATCAAACTGATCACCTTATACTCACGGAACCAATTAGGTATATGACTTACTCCCTAACCATTTCACCTTTATTCGTAGGTGGAAAACATTTCCACTATAAAAATGTTTTGTTTAGTTCTGTTTTTTTCTTCCTTTTTAATCCCTTAAGCTATTTATGTGTATGATTTCTTGAAGAGGTGAGGCCAGAGACTTTAGAATGTGAAAGAAGTTTCCAGAAAAACATTTCTCTCTAACCAAGAGGCAGTTCTCACGTTGGGTCTCCTCTGCCTTAAGGCTGCACTCTAGGGGCAGAAGCTATTGAGCACCCAGGACAAATTAAGAAGTAAGATAGTGACCAAATGTAGAACACTTTGAAAAATTCATCATAAAATATCCCCATATATCGATGACTTACTGATAATACTTTTTTTTGACACGTTGACCTAGATAAATAACTATACCTAATATCATTTGCCCTTTTCTTCCTTTCATTTTTTTTTTCAAATGTGGCTGCTGGAAAAATTTAAAACCAAAATTATGACTTGTGCAGTTCTATCGGGCAGTGCTGACTGCGGGCGAGGGTGGTTTGCAGAACTGTCTCAGTGCGTCCTGGCTCTGCGACCCTGGGCAAATATCCTCTTCTCCTCGAGTCTCTGTTTTGTCTTGTGGATTTGGGGGAAGACGGAACACCGTCCTGCGTGAGAAGTTTGCAGCAGCAAGCTTTAGACATTCGGTGGATTTGGGGGAAGACGGAACACCG